GCCTGGGCAAATCAGCTTTCCCCTCCCTCCAGCAGGCCACGCTCAGGCCCATGATGATACATGTGTTCTGTGTGTGCTCAGGACCACTCAGAGGATGGCACGACTCTAGGGAACATCTCATATTTAACTACTAGCCAGGGTAGAGATTTCTCGGCACCAGGAAGGCCCCAAGCCTACTCTCTACAGAAGTATGACTAACACAAACAAGATCACTCAGTGCCAGAACTCCCCTTTAGACTTCCCTAATTTACTGCAGTTAATCTTTAGGCAAAACTAAGCACTACATTTTGTCTCTCTCGCAGACATTTTGACTAGTCAGCTTCTCTTCCAGTGTTGTAATAAGTCAAGTACACTCTAATCATCATCATCATGAGCACTTCTAACACTGCTAGAATCTAGCTATACCTAAATATAGTTCAACCTTAACCAGCTAGGGCACACGTAGATTCCTGGTTATCCAAAACAAAGCTTTTCTCATGAGCCATGCTTATTAATGAGAATACCTTGATTGCCTAGATGTACTTCTCCATCCCTCATGATGTTTTGATAATGACGGTGGCTTTATTATCTCTTACAGACCAGTTATTCTACAGCGAGATATGTTCCCAATAAACAGTTGGCATTACTGCAAACAATTGTCTTAAATGAAATTAAAGTACACATTGGGAAACATAAAAATATCATGGTGAGTGAAGCCGTATTATTAATGTTTGGCTTTCCATCACCTTTATCAAGAAAATGCGCTAGAGACCATAAGAAGTTACTGGAAGTCATTCAGCTGCACTACATGCAGTTTCAGCAGAAGACGGGAAGCACAGCCGCAGGCTCCAGGCAAGCCTCGGTGGAGAAATGGTGACCTCTTCAGGTTCCTCACTCCCACAGCCACATCCCCTCACGCGTTCATTTAGCAATATGCAAGGTGTAGTTTGGGTTGCTTTCATCTTCGAGAAATTAAAATGGAGAAAATTAAATGTGTATTTCATGATGACATAGCAACAGAAAATAAGCTAGAAAACAAGGGCACGTGTTAATTTAAGAAATAAATGTTCATCTTGGAGAAGTCAGAAAACAATACTTCAAAGGACAAAAACTTCAAAGCACTCTATGACTTCAAAGCACTGCAGCACCAACATTAATAAACACTTAGGACATGTCTGTGAGGTAGAAAAAAAATTTCCTCTTTTAATGCTTGTGTAAACAGGGCACATAGATTAAGTGATTTGCCCAAGGACACAAGTTAGTAGCAAAACCGAGATTGCACGTCAGAAATAACTGGCTCAAGCCTCCTTTCTCAGACCAGCTACAGTTGAGTTAAAACAGTGAGCAGAATGTTCCCTATATGGACACTTATTTAGCAGAGCCCAAAACAGAGATCTTTCCTATCAATAGCATCATCTGCCCTTTTTCAGGTCTGCTCTAAACTCTGCCGTGTTGTTTTCAGCTGATATCCTCCCACAAAGTCAGTGCCAAGTAGACACAGATCGCTCTGAATTAAGGTAATCTTAAATATACACAGAGTCTTACTTCTGCATTTAGCAATGATATTAGAGCTTAAGTGGCCTATGTGAAGATTTTTGTTATTTCTATGTCATGACAAACTACTCGCTACAGGCTTCTTGACAATACACTGAATTAAAATACAATCAGCGCACCTACAGCGTGAAGTTTCTCTGATGACACTGTTGAAGTTGAACGTGCACTAGTATCAGTGTTTTACTATGTCCTTCTAGAGTAAAACATAAAATTTCTTCAATGCATATAAAAAGATCTGCTATATACCCATACTGCTGAACACAAAGATCCTTAAGTGCTATCTGACAAAGAAGTCAGACGTAAACCCCATAATTTTCTTTTCAAAATAACCTAATAAGGAACAGTCCTTGGATACGTGGTGCTAAAGAAGCCAGCAGAAATAAAAGTGCCTGTGAAGTACTTAGCAAGAAAAAAAAAAAAAATCACCTTATGCCACTCAGACAACAAATAAATGTAAAAGATAACAAAGGCACCCAAAGATTTGCTTCTTCCTCTTTTTTCTTAGATCTTTAGTAATATTAAATTTTGTCACTCTTATTTTTAATGAAGAGCTTCCTGGTGATCCCAGGAACCACATGTGTTTGTGGTCTCATGCACTTAATTAAAGGAGAAGAGGTGTGGAACCTTAATATTTTTACCCTTCTGTAAAACATTTATATGTCAAATAGACATATAAGCTAAAAATATATAAACAAAAAGCATGCTTCAAATAGCCAATTCTGAAACTCTTCTCAACTGTTTGGGTTTTTAATCTTTTTGTGAAGTCATTGTTGGAACAAAGGCTTAATTCTAAAAGGAGTTAAAATACTAATTAAAAAATAAAGCTTTTAAAAATATAGTTTCTAAAAATCAATCCATACAACATGCTTCCAAAATTTTCTTGTCAAATGTGAATCTTGTTTTAAGACAGAATTTCCTTATAAGTCACATACTTATGGTGAAGAAATTTAAAAAAAAAATGTACAATTATATTTTGAAGACTGTGATTTGCATTCAGTAATAAGTAATTTGCTGCACATTATTTTCCCAAAATAACGTCCCACGGTGGCCCTAAAAGAGATGCTGCCTGCATATATTGTTCAAATGTTCCTCCTCAAGGCCAGTTAGGAGTACTGCACCCTTTCGTTTGTACTGTTTACTAGTAAAATTTCTGTATTCAGAACACTAGGAAATTACTGCCATACTAATAGACTCTCTTAGAGAGTATCACAAATTCTGTTTTTAATTTTTTCAGGAGTTCCAAAAATTCTTGTGCTGCCTATATTAATGATACTGCTGAGCACGCACATAACATTTTCCATTGCCAGAACTCAAAACTTTCCGGTGAATGTAATCAAGTATTGCTGTCTCTAGTTTGTATGGAAACAATACTAATGATGACATAAGGATCCCATTTCACCAAACTTTAAGTAAGGACTATTAATTTACTCAAGACATGGATAGATCTTCAGTACTTTGTTAAGTCAAATCTGAAGACTAAATAACTCGCAGATCACAGACTGAGTCATTAGCAGATTTGGGAGCACAATTCTGACCTCCTGACTGCCTACAATAAACCATAGTTTTCCATGTTATGCGTTAACAATCATTAACTAAATGACAAAGGTTTTGCCGTTCTTGGTGTAGTGCCCTTCTTTGCATTTCAGAGGAATTACTGGGCTCTTAAATTGGCTGTCAAATTTGCTGACTTGGTAACTGGCTGGCTTTCAAAATATATATTAAAAGTCTTGCCTTTCCTGGCTATTTCTTCAATAAATCTTTTTTTTTTTAATAGACTAAGCTTTGCGATCTTACTTATAAAACTAAAGTGAGCAGAAAAAAATTAAAAATCTTATCAGTCACATTGTACATACTATTAAAGAAAATACAAGCAAAGGCAGCAGGACCCAACAGAAAGGGCACTGAACTAAGAAACAGATGAAAAAATTTTCCATTTGCTTCAATAAGGTCAAACTTTCAGCTTTCCAGCTCATTTTACTTCTAGCTCTTACAGAACTCTGTAATCTCAATTTCTCTCTCAATTGGTTTCAAAATGTGTAGATTATTATTATTTTATTTCCTTCTCTCCATAAGGAATTTTAACACCAATAAGTTAAATTAATTACAGCTAGATTCAAAGGTCGTAGACCCATATTGAAGACTATACATATTCACAGATTTGAAGCTCTATTTAATTTTACTTTAAAGGTTGCATACGGAATCACATGCCTTGATCCACCTCATGTAAAAGAATTAAGTTCCAGACAGACTCCAAGTTACAGCA